TCCTATCTTATGAGAGCGCAATGTAAGTGAACACTCACCACCGCTTCTACCGTCCGCTTCTACAGACAAGATAATTCAACATCACAATCGAATACATTTATTTATAAATAGGTAGACTATTTTTATACTCTCGCAACATGTTGCTACAGAGTATATTAGTTTTGTTCAACTAACGGTTGTTTGTATCACCTAAAACTAATCGAGTTAGATATAGGGCTATTGTTTCTTGTTACCGTATGACGGTTGGTATTGCAGCTGGGCGTAATCGGACCACTGCCACGCCCACAAAAAGCCATTAATCAAAAACAAATAAATTGCCATAACTAAGCTCCACAATAAAATACAAGAATGTTATTTGCTATACAGTATCACCATAGGGAGAGGCATCTGCAGTTATAATTTTTTTTAAAGTAGGCGTGGTCCCTAATGGGTTTAATGTGCATACCTCCTAAACCGCTAAAGCTACAATAACAAAATTCACTGAGAGCAAGCATTTTTAGTACCTCTATTGACAGTGTGAAAATAGGTGATCGGGTGACAACCAAGCCCACACCCCGTAGAACGATACTGTTAAAAACTACTAAAAGCGCGATAAATCAAGAACTAAACACGCCAGGGACATTAAATTGTATCTCTGGGATGGTATGAGATGACTTTATAGGCCCTAATATATACCTAACCACTTTTAGGTGAAAATTCATATCTTGGGATCTGCTTAACCGATTTCAACCAAATTTGATACATAATATTCTTCTCATATTTCTATGTTATATAAATTCCATCTGATTCTTATACCTTTCACTATGCAAATCACAATGCTTGTATCGGGGTAAAACTTTGCGTAAATAATGCGTTTAAAGTATGTCACCTTGTGACCTTGTCTAAATTGAACTAAAACTGTTGAAGTCCCAAGGTAGTGAATACGGGACCCCCGTGCCTATAGTTGATTTCTTACCGAAAATATCGGTCAATGTGTAAGATATATGTATAATTGAAATTCATATAATAAAATAAATAAATTAAATTCTTGGTAGTAGTATGTTTTTGTATCAAAAATGGGTTGAATCGGATTAACACTTCCTTTAAATACAATTTTGCCAACACCAGAAGTAATTTCTCGGGCTTTGATCCTTGCAAGTTGCGAGAGTATAAAATGTTCGGTTACACCCGAACTTACTTGTTAATACTTGGATTTAGGTTTTGAGCTTTAACATTATGAAAAACTATAACCAAAAAACTAAATGTGTGAAAAACCGTGTATACAAATAGATCAATGGTAACATTGGTGAAATGAAAACAAAAAAGAACAACTGATTTCTGCGTTGCAACCACGGGCATAACTTTTGGCAAATGTCGTTTGATACGGGCAGTAAGTACGGAAGGGAGGAATGTGGGAAGACTGTTTGAGCTATTAATAAAAACAAAAAATTACATGACAGAGATAATCGGCTCTATTCCCGTTGTCGTTGTCGTTTTAAAACGGAATAAGGATGGCTATTTGGCATTCCTGTTGACGATATCCACATTTATTGAAAATATTGTGACGAACACGGATGATAGAACAAAATCAGAATCGACGATAAACTGCCAGAAGCAACTAGACAGCGAATTCGTAGTTGCCAGAATGTTCTAGAGATGAAGTTTTGTTAAAGTTCTACTATATAAGGTCTGCCAGACTGTGCTTGTTGCAACAAGGACAGTTCTAGTTAGAGTGTTTTTTTGTTATTCTCTTTCCCTGATTATTAAGATGAGAGAATTTAGAACAGCTGATGTCAAAGAAAGCGGGATTCCAGAAATAATACCACTATAAATAACCGACAGAATTCAGTGTGAAACAGAATTTCAGTGAACAAGTCGGTACGTATTGTTATGATGATAAAAGTGAATTACAATAAATTATTTGCGTACAATAAATAATAATAGTGATATTTGTGATATATTCTAATTCAGTGTTTTGTATTTCATAAGGAAATGCCGAAAATACGAAAATGCGGACATCATATTTTCAAATTTCCTTGTATGGAGAAGGATAAAGACAGGTTAGTCCAAAAGTTTAAAATGTTAATGGTAGATTTTTTAAATTTAGATTTGAAATTATTAATAATGTGAGGGAATGGTATCCACTAATCTAGAAAATATTGTATACATGCATGATATTAATAAATTTTTAAACGTATTTATTTAATTTTATTAAAATATTGATTGTATTACTTAGTGTAGGAATAATTAAAAAAAATTATAATATTTTTATTGTACAATAAAAGTTTTACTAGAATAGTAGAAATTAATTGCTGTAATCAGATTTTTATTTAGCGGTTTAATTAGAAAAGTGTAGAACTAGTAGTAGAAATTTGCTGAAATTTCATTTTTGTTGTAAGGCTTAGGACTTTTTTATTTATATTTTAATTAGATATTTGATTTGGCTGTAACGCTTGGGTGTAGGGCAAATTAGAAATAAATTTTTGCTTGCGTGCGATCGGTACTTCTCCATTTACATGAAGTTGGAAAGGAAATTAAAAAAAAAAATGCTGTTCCGGACATACATTTACCAAATGTGTCCGAACCCAGTTTTGAAGAGGTTTTTAGTCCCAATTCAATAATCGATTTGGTAATGAAGATTTTTTACCAGTTGTTGCGGAATCGCCCGATATCTCCAACAATTTAATGTTATTAGCATCTGTGGCAAAAGAAACCCAGGAAGAAATAGGGCTAGAATGCATTGTAGAGATATAGGAATCCAAACAAATTTGAATTTAATATCAGGGGCCCTTAGGGAACAGAAATTGGTCTAGGAAAATTTTGAGTTAAAAAATAAACTAGAAGAAAAGGAAAGGGGAATTAGTTAACTCAAATATCAATTAGAAGATTTAGCTAGGAAATATAAAATATTAGAAAATGAGTTAAAGGAGAAAGAGGAAGGTTTTGATGTAATAGGTCACTTTTGTAGTAATTTTCCTCCACAGATAAGCGCCATTTTGCAAAGTAATATTAAACATTTTAACCGAAACCCTAACGGTCATAGATGCGACAATTATTTTCAAAACACTAGCTTTATGTGTGTACTTCCTTTCACCCTTAGCTTATAGACACCTTAAGCCAATCCTTAGGTTTCCGGATCCGGATTAGGTTTCCGGATCCGGATTTCACCATCGAATTTCGATATTTTTTGAAGGGATATTTCGAAAAAACTTAATTCATTTGCACCTCCATGTCGCGATGGAGACAGTTGGCATAAAGTAAATATAGTTTTGTAAAATTGCATTTTTTTATCTATGAAGATGTTTAACATTTATATATGTACATATATATTTAAAGTATGAAAGGACTTCAAATTCAAAATAAAGAAAACAAGTCAGAAAAACAAGTCAGTCATACGCATTGGGGCCTCAAAGGCACTATTTGTGAAACGTTTTATCCGAATATATTCATTGGTGCTCTATTTGAATACAAGAAAGTGAAAAAATCAGATGGAATTTAAAATTGCGGTATATGGGAGGTACGTGTTTTTGTAGTTAAATTGCGCCCATTTTCACAACGTAATATAGAATCGTCAAGACATGTACCAAATTTGGTCAAGTAGATCCGGAGATATGTGATTTCCCCTAAATGTGGGCAATGTCCCGCTCATCGTCCAATTTTGACACCGGCTCCCATAAAGCCCTCTTTTATTATCTTAGGTGTAGGATTTAATGTCTCTGGGGCATTGATTATTTATTTATCGCGATATTAGTATTTTTTAACAAAACTGTTATATAGGCAGAGGACGGGGTTATAACCCGATTTCATCCATTTTACCACTGTCGGTAGTGATTCTTATGTGATTTATCCTAAGCGAGTTTGATTATTGTAGCTTTAGTTTTTTAGAAGATATGTACATTAAACCTATTAGATGGCGGGGTCTCGCCCATTTCTTTTTACTTTTTGGACCACAGGTGCCCTTTACTACTACAATCCCCTGTACCAAATTACAGGTTTATATCTTAATTTAGTGCTTAGGTCTTACTAACTCGTCTTCACTTTTTCGCAAAGGAACACCTGTACCATGTTTCATTATCTTAATGTTTACTCAAGTTATCGCTTGCACAGACAGACCGTCACTCAGATTTCAACTCATCTCAACATCCTGCTAATTTATATATAAATAAACCTATATCTTTCTAATAATAACAAAACTATTATACTCTGTAGCAACATGTTGCATTAGTATACAAATGGTACAAAACAAATCCGAAGCTAGAGCAACAGGAAGAGGAGTTATTATTATTGCTTTTTGTCTTATTGTACTTAAATTTACAAAATGGTTGAAATATTTTTAATTTTAATTTAAAATTTCGATAACTTTTAACGATAAACTTGAAGAATACGAATTTAGAAACGATATCGACGGCAACTTGGAAACAAAAAATTAAACGACAACAACAACGAGAATAGGGCCGAATAATCTAAAATTATAGACATTAAAACTTCTCATATATTAATTTTGATAGCTGCTTAATATGCTTGTTAAATCTAAATGAAATAAAAAAGTTTTCTGCTATTTTCACCAAACATAAAATAGTTTTTTATCAAAGCAATATCACAACAATCCTCTTTCATTTGTTGTGGATCTCAGCATGATTCAATTATGTACCTATATAAGGTTGTGTCGATAGCCCAAAAACAACAATTTGTCAAAAGTGTTTTAATTCATAATGTCAAAATCAGCCGTTTTGCTTTGTTTTATTTTTATGATTCAAAAATAAAAATTTCAAATGATAAAACCAATGAAAATGTGTTTTTTGAGTAATAACTGAAGGCGAATAGATTGTAAATTTCACAAAATCATCAAAATGTAAACAGAAAATTCATGAGAAAAACAAAAAACAATTTTTTTTGACATTATGGATTACATTTTTTTTCGTAAGAAAAACCACGCTCTGTAGTAACACAACCTTACATAATTGAATCATAATCTCAGCCTTCCTTCTAAAGCAACAGCTAAAATTAACTACATACATATATTTTTTAACGTCATTTAATGGGATTATTTGAATGTGTTGTGATTTTACATAACACATAATAACGTTTCAAAATACATTTTGAAGAGCAAGAGCGCTAAAAAGCATGCATTTGTAACTAAGTATGTATTATGTGTAGAATGTAGAAAATATCAAATAAATAAGTCCAACATTTTATGATCCAATGCTTCCAATTCCGTTAGAATTTCCTTGGAAATAGTATTGTTTTCATTCTAGGAAGAAAATAAATAAACTTAGAAAAACTTACACAGATTGTATGTATAAATGAGAATAATTTTTGTAAAGAGTTCTTCTAGTATTATTAAAAAAGTCAAAGTGAGACTTTTAGTCACTTCACAGATAGATTATAGCGAGGTCTATTCTTATAACGTTGGTGGCTAGTTTATGTCATCTATATACATACATATGTGACAGTTGTCATACTGTATGACAAATGGGTCTATTTAAAAAGGAAGAAAGTATTATTTCCTCGAGACAAAATGTAATGTGCCATGAACCGTATTCTTTGGGTTTGAACCCAAGTGACTTGTGCACATATCTCACAAGAATGTTCACATACGAGATAACCATTGATACTCGTACTTCATGGCAAATACTGCTGCGATTTGGGTTATCTGGAACAGAATATTTATTCGGGTAGCTAACGTGGCGCCTGACATGTAAGTAAAAAATGTTCTCCCCACTGATGCCATTAGTCAATTCAACGTCGTATTCAAAAAACGTCCTCGCCTTTTAAATAAATTAATTAGTGTAATGCCTCCAAACATTAAATATTATGCAATTTAAGTTATTTTTGATTTTATTTCTTCTTTTCTCTCTTCTAACCGATTGCACAAAATATTTATATATTACCCGAAATATATATCAATAAGCGAAAATTAATTATATTTATTACCAAAAACACTGAAGGGTACAAAAAAAAAGGGTTGAAGTAAAAATTCTGTACTTTTCAGCGAAGAATGTCACTAAAGTATATAAAGGTACAAAATATTAGCTTTGTTAATATTTGAGTTAAAATATCTGAACCTCGCTGAATTATGATTCTGAATCAAAGATTACAACCGGGGCACTTGGCTGGGCCGATCGATGTAGTCTTCAAAGGAAAAAGTTAAACGCCTACAAATTATACTGGCACCTAATCCACTATCATTATCACTTTCAATGAAAGTTTCTCAAATAAAGAGCAGAGTTTTCTATTTGCATCATTTGTGGGAAATATGGCGAGAGAGGAAGTTTTTAAACCCATTTTTAAGATAAACTTAAGATAATGTTTTTTATTAAAATAAACGTTTTAGGTGCGGTTAAGATTTCATCCAACATTTTCAAGAATCGGGAATATTATAAACGGAATATTCATACATATTCATATATACGGATAGTCCCAGTTTTTATTTTAGGGCTCTTTGTAAACTTTTTAAATTAATAGTTAAAATGTATGGAGATGTACGTAAATATTATTAAATGATAAACCTTTTTGTTTAAACTATTAAAAAATGCAAAATTTTTTCCTTGTTTAACATAAGTTGGGAGCATTAAAACAGTATTATTTTTTAGAAAATTTTGAAATTTGGAACCTTTCCAATAAATTCTCCAGTATTTCGACTAAGATAGGGGCTTCTTAATACGTTTTACTTCAGCTCCTTCTTTCTTCAAAAACGCTTACATGGGCTAGAGGCCCATCATCTTGCTAATTGTTGTTTTAGGCGAGTTAAGTTGGTCGTACCGAAAATCATTGAAATTATTTAGCGCTACCGACCACATATTTACATATCTTTATATGAAGTGTCTCTAGCTAAAGCAATTTTGTAGAAATATTTTTACAGTACACTCACCACATGTGCATATTTCCATAGTTTTAAAGCATTTTCTATCCTTCCTAATCTTAAATTGATCAAAGCTAAATAAGCCCAAATATCCGGTATATGTAGTGGGTAGTTTGTAGCGTTAGCAAAATGTCCTTCCGCTTCTGGCAAACGATTTAACTATGTGCAAAAAATAAATAAATACACAATTCTAAACCCGTTTGGTGCACCGTTTACCTTGTACATCGCTTTACCCAGTCCATAATATGCCACGAAGGCACCTGTACCGAAAAATAGGTATTTTTCATAGGCTTTTATGGCATCCAAAAGTTTACGCTCATTATAACGAAAATTGGCGTAACGCAGTAGTCCAAGTTTCAGGCATTGATTATCATTATCCTTACTATCCAAAATTCGGTGATAATACTTTAATGCCTTGCTAATTTCACCACGATAATACTCGATATTGCCATTTGTGAATGCAACCAGAGCCTTCTGCAAACGATAAACCCAGAAAGATTGTTTAATAAAATTACCCACATTTTACTTCACAAAAACAATTACATTAGATTAAGGATTCAAATGCTTTTGATAAATCAACTACCAAAATTAAGCGAACTCACCATAGATTTATCGTCATCAAAACTCTGCATAGTATAGTCCTCTTTCAAATCATCTGTTAGTATTTTAATCGTGCTTTTAAACATATATTTCTCAACAAGAGTGCATTCGTATGAGATCGCATCAAAAACGATGTCGGCAAATAAATAAGTGCCTAACCATAACAAATGTTTTACGATTATAAATAATAATTGGCCCTTTTTTGTGTAAAATTGTACATAGACGTCGTTATAAATCGAGAAACGACTATATGGTATGTTTGGAAAGTCCCAATAATGTTGGCCGATGAGATTTTCATACTTCAGACGAGTAAAGTCAATACCAGGAAAATAACCGCATTGCTTATATATACAATGCAATAGTATCCATGTCTCCAATTCGAGCGGATATTTTGTCGAAAATTCATTGAGCATTTCGATCATATAAGACAAAGCTTCATTAAAACTCTTTTCATTTCTCTTCAACTTCATGTAGTTGAGGTAAATTCCGGCCAATTCGCTAAGTTTTCAAAACGAGAATAATTAAAATTCGTAAATTAATTATTTATATGAACTTGTATATAATATACTCGTGTATAACATATATACCTATATGAATAGTACTTGTAATACTTACGTATAATAGGCCGCACGCTGAGGTACCTCTCTCACTGGATTCTTTGCGTACTCGAGCGCTGAGTCGAACTTAAGGGTTTCAATGTCGTAAAGAAAATTGCAAAAGTGCCAAGTAGAATTATTGGCATATATTTGTGAGAACTACAAAAAAGTTAGAAGCTTTAAAATAATAATAAAGTAAAGTTGTGGTCTTGGGAGCAACGACAAGAGTGTTGAAAATGAATGACTTTCAGCCTATTTCGAATAACCCAGCGAGTCACAGCTACCAAACCAATACATTGCAAAAAATAGAGCGGAAACTTACACACACATACATACCGTGCAACTCATGAGTGGTTTCATGATCTTCGAGCAATCGATAAACTTATTTACGGACCATTGTCCTGATATCGATAAATAGAGATTTGTGTATACGCCTTAATGTAATAAAAATTTGTTTTATGATACTGGTAAACGGACTGCGATTTGAACAAGTCGCGTCATTGAAGCTAAAATGCTAAACTTCTTCAAATACCGCTCGAAAAACAAGAGTACATATAGACATGTGCCTTGGGTGCCTGCAGAGTGGACGCTGAAAGCTGAGCCGAGCGCAAAGCTGACGAATGCGAGAAATCAACTTCAAAACTGTTTGCGTACATTTTTATACGAAATCGCGCAGGCAGTGCAGAGTGGAAGCTGACTGAAGCCGTTTTTTAGCGCCGACTCGAGTGTTGCATAGTTCATGTGTATGTTGGTATGGTGGTCTCATATTTTGCTTACAAGGAATTACCATGAATGTGGTAGAACAATATTTAGAATACCCGCTATTAATATATGTAAGAGAAAACTTATAACAGAATTCCCTTATCTATCAGAATTTATTAAATACCCGCTATTAATATTCTCAAGGCCAAATTTATGACGGAATTTGCTAATCTATCGGGAAGTATTAAATACCCGTATTTTTTACGCCCTATTTTATTTCTTTTTCTCACAAAAGATTTATTAATTAATTACATTTTTTGTTTTAAATAAAATGATATTCGAACTAAATCCTTTGCGGTTAAAAGAAAGTGTAACGAACAAGAAACAGAACAGAACAGAATCTCGCACCCACTCTGCGGTACTCAAAATCGATCAGTACTGATCGAAATCAGCTGTGCGCTCGGCTCGGCTCGGCTTTCAGCGTCCACTCCATTTTTTCCATTAGGAATATTTGAGATGATGATGAACTCGCTAGGTACTGTATTGAGAAATCACTTAAAAACCGACTCTAGCGAGAATTTTTAAAAACATGTCTCTTTTTTATCGATATATGAAATGTATTAAGAGTTACTATTGGAAAAAAATTATGGGACTTGCATAGCAGATTTCTTTATTACATGAAATTAAAGTGCAATATCTTCATGTTTACCTCACCTTATAAAGGTTTTTTAATAAAAAGGAGAACACTTGGAATCATAAGAAACATTAATATTATATTGTATATCGTATCATATTTTTTATGTACATACAAATAGATATTATTTACCTTTTCCAAGAGAAAATCGGCAAGTTTTTTGTCCCCTGACTCATTGAGTAGTTTTATATAACTCATTCTCCTTTGAAGTTTTGTATCTTCCTTAATTGTGCCTTGGTCGATTAACATAGCTTTATTATCAAACGATTTCAAAACATTATAAACGCGTTGTGTTAACTCCTCATAAACAAGCGTCATTAAATTCTGTAATTATGCGAAAAAAGTCTACGATTAGAGCTCTTGTTATGTTTCAACTTAAATAATATATGGATAAAAAGGCCTTAAGGAACTCATAGAAATTTTAACAGAAAGCTCTGGTAGCGCTGTTGGGTAAATAACCGGTAAATGGCTTGCAGGGTAGTTACATAACTTTTGGGTTCAGTGCCACAGAATCAGGGATTAAAAAGTTTTGCTTCAGATTGAGTAAAACTTAACGAAATCTGTTTGGTTTTTTAATTTCCGATGATCCAGTTCAGAGGTATATTGGTCACCACAAAACGTCTTTTCTGAGAGGAGCTTCCTGAGATCAGCTGTAGCTCTTTTCCAAATAAATATTTTTTCTAGTACTAAGTCTTAAAATATAGTTAAAAGATACCATAAATGTGTATAATTTTTTGGATCAATAAATTTAAAAGTTTTCTCAGAAAAATTTCTAGAAAATTCACTCTTTTCGGGCTTCTAACTATATAACGCCTTAAGATATCTTGATGAAACTTGCCACATATGTTCCTTGGCACACAAGGGAGGTTGGTATTGCAGATGGGTGTAATCGGACCACCGCCACAAAATGCCATAATTAAGCACTAAATTAAGATACAAAAATTTAATTTTGGACAGGGGATCGCAGTAGCGAGCGAAACTATTGGGTTTAAAAAAATTTTAAAGTGGGCGTGCCCCTTCCCCGTAAATGGTTACATATATATCTTCCAAACCGTTAAAGCTAAGTCAACCACTTTAGCTGAGCAAAAGATTTTTTAGCACATCTTCATACGTTGTGAAAATGGATAAAATCAGATAACATTTACGCTCACCCCCTATACAACGGCTATGTTAAAAACCCTTTTACGTAAAATCCTATATCACAAGAACTACTTGACCAATTTCACACCAAATTGGGTGTGTGAGGTAGTACACACATTGCTATCATACTTGTACACTGTGAAAATGGCCGAAATTAGATGACAACCACGACTACTTCCCATATAACAATCATTTAAATTCCATCTGATTCTTTCACTTTTCGGCATACACTTCAAACATCAATGAAATTGTCAGAATAAATCTTTGCACAAATAGTGTCCTCAAGGTATTTCATCTTACTCCCAAAAATTGTCGAAATCGGACTATAAATTTTCAAAGACCAAGATACCAATCATGTGGACTTCAGTGCATATGGCTAATTTTTTACTGAACACATCGGTCATCCTGTGAGGTCTAGTATTGAAATTCGGGGAGATTATTTTTACGATAACAGGACAGCATGCCCTTGTGTCAAAAATGGATCAACTCGGGTCAATCCTTGGCTTACCCCCTATACGTAATACATATAAATATTTTCGAACTTTCGGTTGACTTTAAACCGCATTTATCGGTCAATATGTAAGGAATCTTAATGAAATTCAGAAATAATCTCTTTGTTCTCTTAGTTTATTCTCTTGCCTAAAATGGATGAAATCAGGGCAATAATGTACGTTGTCCCCATGTGTTCTTTAATGAAATTCAGAGAGTATCTCTTTCTGGTAACAATATGTCGTAATACCAAAACTGGATAAAATCGGGTCACAATATCACCTAGCCCCCAAATAGCTTATATCAGAAAATGTGTAAGAATTATGTATAAATTTTACACTTTCGGTTGGCTTTATACCATACGCATATACGAGTATCGGTCAACATGTAAGATATCTTAGTAAAATTAAGTGAAAGCATAATATTGGATATACTGTATTTAATGCCGAAAATGTGCGATATCGATCCAGGAATTACCCCAGCTCCCAAATACAATGTAGAATGATTTTCATTAGTACAGAATGGAATTGGGGAAATCCTATCGTTGTGTAACTTGAATTGTTTCGCAACATTTTTATACTTTTACAACATGTTGCTACATATTATAATAGTTTTTTTCACCCAACGGTTGTTTGTTTCACCTTAAACTATTCGAGATAAATATAGGGTTAAATATATGTATGTATATATACATGATCAGGATGATGAGACGAATTGAAATCCTTATATATTGCTGACGGTATGTTAGGTATCTTAATGAAACTCAGAGGGCATCTGTTTCTGTTAATAATAAGTATTAATGCCAAAAAAAGATAAAATCGTGTCAATACTACACATTTCTCCCATATACCTAAAAGGAATTTCCAACTTCCGATTAGCCTTATACCGTATACATCGGTCAATATGTAAGATATCTTAGCAAAATTAACTGAGCTGAACTGGATATACTACCCATAGTTTAATGCCGAAAATATGTGAACTTATATTATATTATACTCCACATAATAATTTTCGCTTTCTAACAAACCACTGAATATGATTGGAGTTGGTCTAGACCTTGCACACATTTGGTGTAGTAAAAAGAAATCCAAAATTTTTTTGAATAGATGGCGTTATTTATCTGTATCTGGCGTTATATAAATCTGATCGGGTTCAGTTAGAAAGATGACATTTCCTACTAATCTTTTCTGACAGTTTTGATTGGTTGATTCACTTTTGTTTGAGCGCGCGTCGAAGATGGACACTATAGCTTTTTGCTACACCTAATACAGTTTTGCTTCGATGAGGAACGCAAGCCAGGTGGCTGAAAATGTGAATCTGATACAGTAACAGCCAATCTGCGCAATTTTTGTTTCGTCGATTCTTTTCCTGTAATTTCGATGTCAAAGATGCACCACGCTCTGGAAGACCAATTATTGAAAAAATCGATCAAATAATGGAAATCGCCGAGTCCAAATATCGATTACGATTGTCCAGGACTTAAACATTGTACAAAAACCGTTTGGAGCCATTTGAATAAGGCTAGATGCGAAAAGTAATAATTAAAGCAATTTTGCAGCAATAATGAAAATGAAAAAATTGTCGGGATAAGGTAAGGGGGAGTTTGCTTATGATGTATGAAAAGAAAAAACAAAAGAATGGGGTGTAATTTCATACGAGTATATAATGTGAATATGGTGTAAGGTAGTTTCTTTATTCATGCTTACCGTAAATTCGATACTAGTTTCTGTCGGAACACGTACATTAAAATCATAAGCTATAAGATCTGTAATTTTCCAAGACAATATTTTCAGTTCACAGCACACGTATGATTTACTGTCGTTAAAATCAGTTATATTATTTTTTAATATATTCATTGCTATGGATTTAATTTCTTGATTAAATTTTCTGTAAGCCTCCTCCCGTTTATAAAAGAGACTTCGATTATCCTTCAGCAGTGAATTACATACATATTTATCTTCATCGGCGGGTGCAATATTATCAATATTTTTGGTTATAATAGATCGCCCGCTTCTACTTTCCGTTATGGGAGAATAAAAACTAATATTTAATGTGGCAAACGCTGTTTTATGATCAACGTTGTACTTTACATTCATGGCCGGGTCATCCAATACGACGGCAAACCGGCAAGCATTCACTGTGAACAAAAAGGAAGTAAGCCGTAAGTAAGGAAACTAAACCTATAGAGTAGACACACCGGCCATATATGGCATTAAATTATATAATGGTCTATATTTAACTGGAAGAAATAAATAAATTAAATTAATAAAATATCACTTGTAATTTGTGTAGAATTTTAAATCCGTTTCTCTCGACCTTCGATTATTTAAAATAAAACATTCTTGCACCAAATGTAATACAAGTATATATAATATTATTTCTAAAGCATTCTGCGATTTTATCAGTCGTACAGTGACACAAATAGAGAATGATGTTGGCTTAAGAATTCGACAATTTAAAAGTTATTCGTTCGTCGTTTGTTTAATACCAAAGAGGCAAAAACCTTCTTCTTCTAGGCCGATACATCTGTTTTTGGTGAAGAAGACTTACCATTAGGATAAAGAAAAATGTGTGCTTCTAGGGCTCCTTGAAGCAGTATATTTTCGGGTTGCTTGACGTTATAAACTTTTACAACTAAACATTGTTCATCGCTTCCAATAACTTGCTCGAGCTTTTCAGTCAACGCATCGGTGAGTACAAATCGAACAGTCGAATTCGATGTTAAGGCGTACTCGTGGAAAATATTAATCAAATGGAAATTGAATTCTCTGCCTTCAGTGCAAAATAGATTCCTTAGAAAATTTTGCGGTTTATTCGTGCATCCGGTTCTCACGTCTGGTGAACATCGTTGATTAGGATTGCGCAAATTTTCCCAACAGAAATAAACGCTCTGAGCTTTAATTATATTCTTTCGAAACACTTTAAAAGTGCAAATCTTAAATTCGTCAAATGACAAAATTTCATTTTCGAATTTGGCTTGAAAAAGTATATCCACACACATTTCATCCGCCATATCCAACAACTCCTCATTCAAATTAAATAAAGATTCTAAGCTAAGAAATGCCAGATTGGTAATATGCAAGATTTTCATAAGTGGCGATTTGGTATAAATACTCCATATAGTCTTTACAGCCCCTCCACCACTTGCCCAGTTGGGAGAGTATAGGAATACAACCATTTGAAGTGATATACTTTCATCGGAGAATAGTTGAAGGATATCGATATATCCCTTTGCTATATAGTTATTCTCTTTAATGTCGATTTTGTACTTGGATTCGATGTCGTAACCGAATTCCGCTTGCCTTTCCCGTTCAGATTCATAGCGGTTTTCGTCCATGGAGTGTCTCTTATTTGATGCCATGTGACGTTTTACTAACACACATATTTGCTCTGCAGCGAAATAGTTTGCAGCTTCCATGTCATCTTGTTCAATAATTATAGCATAAACGCATTTTTCCTCTCCTGTTAAAAGTTGATTGAACATATGTTCAGGCTCCTTAGGTGAGTTAAAAAATTCGGCACGGGAATGCGTTAATTCCATATATGTGCCTTTTTCATTGGCGTTGAAATTAGTAATTTCTATCAGTTCTAACCACGCAAATACCCGCTGCTTATGATTTTTTGGCGTGTCATCAGTTAATCTCTAAAGTGAAATTAAAAACCTCTTTTTAAGTTAATATAATAAATATGTAAATTAGATGTGACCTTCGGGCTCTGGCTAGTAACTGACTTCGTTCTCTCATCTTCGTCTCTGTGAGTTTTGATGGTATGAACTTGTATTTTATTCATTTTACAATAATTAAAGTTACAAATGTATAGGAAATAAAAACTGTTAAAAGCTGTCGATATATTTTCTAAGTTATATTATTGTTGTTGGTTTACATTATTGATTGAATAGTGAAAGAAGTTGTGATAGTCTGCAAAGTAAGATCACATTTAATAATTCAATAAAGTAAGCTAGCGAAATGCAAACCTTTTAATGTTTAATGTTATTATGAGCAATTTCCAGCGTCAGCGTATGAATTCAAAACTTCACATCAGACGATATTGTGAATCATATATTGTACAATCCCAGGGATCCCAAAACCGGGGGAAGACAAAACCGAGTATAGCTATTTTAAATATCTTGCCACATTATGAGCGGGAAAATGTTCTTACTTAAGTCCATTAAGATGAACTTGTGAGATAGCTAAGTTTTTCGGTATAAAACCAACCACAGACAAAATGGTCATCATATCCGGTATCTTAGGTTTGGAATAGATAAAACTTCATTTCGACCATTTTTTGACATCGTTTAACAGCATTTTTTAGGCGTGCCAATAGTCAAATTTCGCAAATTAATCATTACAAACCATTACAAACTCAGAGTGCCAAGGAAAAGGTACACCAACTTTCATTAAACTATACAAAATTTTACTTAAGCTGCCGCTTGGACGAAAAGACAAACATTCGGGAATCCCTCCTGCGAATGGCAGGCACCTTGACGTGGTGCAGGGGCTTAGGTCGCAAGGCATTCTCGGCATCTCTCAACCAATGTGAGAAGTGCTGCCTAGCACCTTTGTCCGATCGCAGCACTGGAAGTAATGCTGGAGCTAACACCGCTACATATAGTGATCGAGCAGACGGCTTAACAGACCTTGCTTCAAATGTCAGCAGAAAGGTTTGGCAAAGGGAAGGTAATCTCGTCCCAGCAGATGAAGGCTCTAAGTGACGCAATGCCACTGGCCCTTCTTCCAAGGGACAGCATTACAAAACAGTAAGCTTCACTAGGAAGTTCAGGGTTACCCTTAGCAGTAAGGCAGAATGGAACGATTCCACGCTGGACATACTACTAAGAAACAGTACTATCAAGTGGTACACCGACGGCTCGGAAACGGCGGAGGGGATTGGCGCAGGGGTCGCAGGACCACGCACCGAGCTCTCCATCCCCATGGGAAGTTTTCTAGCATATTCCAAGCCGAGGTCTATGCTATAAGTCGGTGTGTAGAAATAAACCTCCAACGCGACTACCGCAATAAGATCATCGCCATATTCAGCGATAATCAGGCAGCACTAAAAGCGATCTCGGCTTTTGAGGTCAAATCTCTACTAGTGCAGGAGTGTATAGAACGGCTGAACAGCCTATCAAGTCTCAACAGAGTGCACCTCATCAGGGTGCCTGGTCACAGGGGTATAGCAGGAAATAAACTTGCTGACGAGTTGGCCCGCCCTGCAGCCTCTACAAACATGGTAGGACCAGAACCGTGCGTAGCGGTTGGTCCACATACCATTAAGGAGCTGCTCCGTAAAGAGGAAAGAACAGGCAGGGAGAGACACTGGCAACATCTCCAAGGCATGCGCAATGCCAAGTTGCTAATGGGGGCTTACAACCTCAGACGGTTTAAAACCGTAATCAATCTCCCGAGGAACAAATTTCGGCTTCTGGTCGCGTTCTACACCGGATATTGCAAGCTTAACAAGCATTTATTTAACATGGGCTTGGTCTCCTTTGCAAACTGCCGGTTCTGCGACATGGAGTCGGAAACCCCAGAACACCTACTAATGGACTGCACATCAGTCTGAAGACGTAGAGTCAAGGCCCTGGGATCCATGTTTCCAAACAGGGATCGCATCGCCTCATTGGCACCTAGCAGTGTATTGGAGTTCATCAATATGCTAGGGCTAGATGAGTCGCTGTGACTTAGGGGAGGGCACAATAGACCATAGGTCGCGGTGCATACCTCAATCATTATCTAATCTACGGGAATCAATTCGTTTCGTCTTCCTGATCATTTTGATATACATATGTATATACAATTACTGAAAATAAAATAGAATCAAAAGTTTATTCACAACTATTTGCAAAAAAAAGAGTTACCAAAGTTTTTAGAAGGAAACAACTATTTTTTATTGTTAATAAAATTTATTTTAAACATTTCAAAGCAAAAATAACTTAATAAAATTTTAAGTATTGTCAATCGACAACTTTTAAAGAAACTGTCAGAAACTTCAATTGACAATAATATAGAATCATGGAACCAAAACTCGTAAATTTTTATTAAAAATGAATATATAATATATAAGTTAGAATTTCTTGCAAAACCTTTATTTGTGAGTACGGTAGCGCCCTATTTCGTGGTTTGATGGGTCCCAACTTTTCCTTTACAATCTTCCACAGGTTTTATATAGGATTTAAATCCGGAGATTGATCCTGTAGCCACGTCTTGATAAAAATCTCTATCTAATTGACATCCTGAGACTTCGTTTCACGTGGCAGTCCTCTCAATTCGCATTTTATGTGGTTTCAAAGCAGTGAAAACAAATTTTTGGGATATTTTTATAGTTTTTGAAATTTTCCTTTCGGTATACCCTTATTATAATTCACTGATTCAATTGCGATATATAATAGGTGAAAGAGCAACACAATTTTATTTAATTCATTCTTTTTTTTTAATTTCTAAGCCCGGGACGGTCGGGACCCTTAACTCGGAATCCAGACTCTCCCGGCCAAACCGGGACGAATGGTCAGCTAAGTTTAACTGTTATTTTGCAAACTTTTTATAAGCTTAAGCTCTGCCGCTGTGCAGATATTTCCTCGGCCCATTTCTTCTAAATACTATAGCAAAACAGTTTCAGCAAATATCCTAAATATAATTGTTTACTAAATGACTCGTAGAATTGATTTTTTTTATTTTCTTGATCCTATTTTTATTTGTTATGACAACAAATGAACACTTTTGTTTAATTTGAACACAAAGATATCAGTCAAATGTAACAGAGCTACCGTCATGTTTTAAAAGATAAATATTGTAAGAATAAATTACTTTGCGAATTTTAGAGTTTCTATAAATTAAATATTTAGTTTGCCACGAAGTTTGTAACACCCAAAAGGAAACGTCGTAGACCCTACAAAGGGTATATATATATACATTGATCAGCGTGACGAGCTGACTCGATTTAGTATATGGTATATTCAAACTAAGCCCTCAGTTTTTAAAGGTCACTAGAATGTATGCCGTATAAGCAGTTGAACATTTTTTTAACACTTTTATGAAAAATTGAACTCTGTCGCGGTGTTATCGTATCCGTAAAATCTTCCGTTAACATTCGAAGGAAATATAAATGAAAACTCGGGTCTGCTAAAAATTGCAGTCGGAAATTGTCGTCTTCTTCTAGATCTTTTTCCTACCTACATTAAGAATTGGATGAAAATTGCAGTAAGGAGAAATTGAATTCAAAATAAACACTTCCTTGATCATACTTGATAGTGGAATGAAGAGAACATTCGAAGCAGTGAGTAACATTAACGAATCGTTCTGATTTCTATGGCAGCTCCATAATAGAAAGAGTATGAACTCAACGCAGCTGTAAAAAATTTTGCATAAGAGTATTCCGTTGATGTATCTGATAAGTTGTTGGATTTCCAGACTATTATCGAGCATTCGCTGCCGCCAAAGCTTAATCATGTTAGTGATTAGATTTCAAAAGAACCATAAATATGGTATAGATATGTATGTTGGAATGAGATGTTTCTGTCGTCTTATTAATTGCCAAGTCTTGCTATCTCTATTACATTATTGATTTTCAAAATCGTATACGGTTTGTTAGAATAAAATATAATAAAATCATTATATGTAGTATATGGTAGTTAGGGTAATTCATAGACTAAATTCACATTTGTTCGGCATTAAACTAAAGAATATCCAATATTATACACTTAGTGAGGAGGCTAAGGCAAGCTTTCACCCGATTTTATTCACTTTGGCACACTTAGGTACACTGTTAATGGAAAAACACTCTCTCTCAACTTCATTAAGATAACTAACATATTGACCGATATATGCGGTATAAAGAAAACCGAAAGTTCGTAAATCTTTATATTAGGTTATTGGGCCTATAGGAGAAGTATTGATCCAATATATCTCATAGGTTGACTGATATTTTCGGTAAAAGTTAGCCAGACGCACTGGGGTCCATATTTCCTGTATCTGGGGGCTTGAACAATTGTAGCTCGATTTATTCTTATTAAGTCCTCTAAAACCACTTCGGGTGTAAAATTTAATGTCTCTGGCGCAATCGTTTATTGATTTATCGTACTTTTAGTAGTTTTTAACACAATCGTTATATGTTGTATGGGCGAAGTTATAATCCGATTTCATACATTTTAACACTGCCGGCGGCTATAACAAAAAAAAAATTGTTCGTCATCCTGATCATTTATATATTGTACATAACCATATCTCGATTAGTTCAAGGTGATGCAAACAACCGCTGGGGGAACAAAACTATTTTACTCTGTAGCAATATGCTGCGAAAATATAAACATTGCTTTTAAAAACATTTATGAATTTTTGACGATATATTTGCTTTTACAAAACATTTTTTTTTCGACATTATGGGTACAAACACTTCTTTCGTAAGAGGAAGTGCACTCCGTATCGACTAGGGTTGCGAATTTTTTTAACCAAAAACTGAATTTTAAATGAAATGAAAATTTAAATTTTATTCACAACATCGGAATTAAAAAATGAAAACCTCGTTTTTTATCCGGTATGTGAGATTAACATTTCATATTATTTATTGTTATTCCGGTAAGCAGGACAAAATAAAATAAAAATTGAATTCAAATTTTAATTCAATTATTTTTTAATGCATTATTTGAAACCCTGTTATTGACACAACCTTATATGATGTGTCCTGTGATTTATTTATGTTTCGTTTTACTATGTCAAAAATTTGAGCAATGTTAACAAATTCTTTGAACAGAGCTTCCCAAAATGTAAACTCAGGGTTTGTTATCTGGGTTTTCAAGTAGAGTGGCTTCTGTAGCTTTCCGCAAATAACAATCCTGTTTCAAAATCCAGCGCAAGCACAACGACTATTATAATCCGCTATCCATCTACAATACCGGTGCTAGTATCTTTAAAGAAGAAATTAATATATATATGGTCCAAAATTGTTATTACATATCATTGCAGATAACTCATTGGTTAAAAGGTCGCCTAATCTCCCTTACATAAAGAACTTTTCCTTGCCTTCTAACTTTTTTTTTGCCTGTTTCTTTATTTGATTCGCTTTCAAATTTAAGCCTTTCTTCTATTAAACTAACTAATTTTCGTATATTACTTTTAAACATTTTTTAAAGGTAGTTAAATTCTCATTTTAGTTATAGTGCTTATAAATGTACATGCACGATAATGAAGGAGAAATTCTAGAAATTTTAGTTAGAGTTCCATTCTTATTAAAAGAACTTAAATGACATTATTCATAACGGCAAAATTACGATTTCTTTAGCGCTGCGATCTGATAGTATGGACGATAGAGGTGCCCTCAGGATTAAAAAATGTATACACATATACTCGCCTTCGATTTTCGAGATATTTCTATTTAAAGTTCAAAAATTGTAAAAGTAATGCATGCGCGTCGAGCTCCTCTGCACTGGAGTGCAACTGCAACAACATCCGTCCATACGATCAGATCGTGGCGCCAAAGAAACCGTAGTCGTAACCGTATTAATAGTTAATGGTTAAATCCCAAGGAAAATCAGCCGGCAACGCTAGGTGACAGAAATGTCAAAAAATATCTACTCATAGATAGTTCTAATGCCATATTCAGCTGTTCAAACTCAGATAATTGATTAATTTACAAACAAATATCCAACGTTTATAAACTATGGGTGCACCGGAACTGCCTGGAGACCCTGGTGAGGAAGACGTACATGCAATACAGACAAATGTTCAGCATCCTCCAATGCCTAGTGATGATAGTGACAATGAAATGAACACACTGGATGCATACAATGGATACCAGCCATTGGCGACGGGCAACGACATCAACGATTTCAACGAAGTCGCAATGGATGACAATGATTCTGTAGATGACGACTCTGAAGAAACAATGCAATATGTTGATAACGCGAGTGCTGTTGAAAATGGTAGTATCAATGATAATTTGCCAGAGGTAGAGAGTGCAGATGCTGAAATCGAAAGGCAAATTTGGAGCCAACCACGCCCCAAGGAATTACAATTAGAATTAGATACTAATAAAACCACACAAGTAAATAATTTAAATTCATAAAAGTTAAACAGTAATATATTTTTGAAATAAATTTTAGATTTTAAATGTCATGGCAAATATAACACTTCCTAATGCTGTAGTACCTGAATGGGCCAACGGAGTGCCGGAAGAGCGGTGGAAAGAGGAACTACTCGAACGTATACGACAACGTGGAGATCTACGCCAAAATATCGATAAATGAATACGAATTGCTACGAAAGTTTATAATTGATTATAGTAGTTTTATGTATCTATGTAGTCTGAATTTAAGTATAAATAGTATTTTAAATAAAAGTGTTTGAAACTGCTGGTACTCCTTGTTTCAACTCAATAAATATGTATATTTAGTGATTTTAATTATCAGTAAGCAGAGGTGCAACTAATAAGGAATAATTAAATAACATTTGAATTACACATTTTTTTTATTTTGTTATCCCGAAAATCTTAATTGAACAAATTTTAAATCCCAAAAATCGGATTAACAAAACCCAAATACCTGATTGTAAAATCGGAAAATATTTTGATCCCAAGCATATATAAATAATTAAAAAAATTAATTGTTTTAGAATTAACATTTATTCGCGTTTGCGTACTTCCCGTTCTACCATTTTGTAATAAAGCTCGCACAGAGCCATCATCTTCAATACTCTAGAACAAAGGTCGGCAAACTTACACATTCAAACGAATAATATTCTTTTAAGTTTTAATTCTGATTTTGGGACTAAAAATCTAACTTTATATTTTTACTATATAATTTAAAAAAAAATTTAATCCGAAACATTTTTAATAAACAATTTAAATCTTAATTTAATAATCTCGGAATTTGTTATCTATGATGTTGGGATTAAAAATTAAATTTTAATTCTTTAATAGCAATGTTATGATTGAATATTAAAAAAGTAATTTCTAATCGAAAGCTTTTTTATTAAAAAATACGCAACGCTAAACGTAAGATAATTAATTTTTTTCAATTAAAATTAAAATTTATTTTAGGATATGTAATAAATAAAAGAAGAGAGATATAAAAATCTTTTGGTTTTATCAAATCTTACGACCCACATTCTCATAACTCTCTACGGATCTACGTAACCGGAACGGACCGGATTTTGCCCGCCAAGGACTGTCAACTCGGCAAAATTCTGTCGCTACAACAACAACTCCTACTTTCCATACAGTCATATTCCATATATTCTCCATGTACCAAAAATACGTACATAATTTACCTCTAGATATCGAAAATTGTTGCATATCTACATCTTATTTTGTACGTATTTATATCCGTTTCCTATCTTTTATCTTATCGAATTTCGAATATCGCAGAATAGTTGTGTTCTTTCTATTTTCTAGACCTCTTATACATATTTTGTTTAGATTTTGAACCCAGAGCGTATTATTCCGGAAATAAAATTATATGCTGATTTCTAACGTAAAGCACTGATGAATGTTGAATTTATTTATTTGTTTATATTGAAGTGGTCTCATTGAACGCCATTTAATGATCGCCATTTAACAATCGAGTTACCAATGCGCATACAAGTTTTCGCTCGTTTTAAAGCTCACAAAAGTTCATCTAGAATAATATGCATGCATACAAATACATATGTATGTATGTATGGAAAAGAAAAGCTCGACCAAAAATTCCATACATTTTAACTGTTAGCTTTCTGTTGTATAATTTCTCGCCTCCTTTCATTTTCGTAATTGTTTGAAATAATGTAGTGATTGCATTTATTTTAAAATTTTTATACATGCTAAAATGTGTATAACAACACTTTTGCTGTAAAACTTTGCGAAATAGTGTTTAATTTATCAGTATTTTATTTTAAGAGCAAACAATTCATCTAATTCTTTACTTTTATATAACCTTTATGTTGTATTCATAATAATTTCGCTTTCGCGCAAAAATTTTAATATAAATCTTTCTTTCAGTTATATCTTACAATTACTTCACTTCATCTCCATAATATAAATATTTTTCATTGATTTCCTGTTTTAGTTTTTCTGATTTTTCTGTTTTTTGTTTTGTTTTTGTTAAATATGTAACATTTTCTTCTCTAATGCATTAGATAATGGCTAAAAATATGAATCTCTAAGTAAGATTAACTACATCTACACTACGTTGGTTGCCATTGCAGCTGCTATTGTTGGAATTACTGCTGAAGCTAATGTTGTCACAGTTCGATGTTGTTATTGACCCAGACGATGAAGCTGGAACCGAATCACTGCAATTTAGCCCTTCCTTGTACTTACTATCACCCGCTCCATTGCTGCTGCCGCCACCGCCGTCGTACGCCTCTAAATCTGGCAAACTGTTTTTGCTTTGTGACGACGATGCCATCGTGGAGAATGAAGCATATTTAGGGTCCTTTTTTCTCGCACCACCACACACCTCAGATGATGGTGCACCATTGTAAAGAGTGGATTTACCGCTCTCGTCCAATATGATGTTTAACTTCTCCTTGCAAAGTTTGCGGCCACCTTTGCCACCACTACCAGATGTACTTGCTCTATGGAAGAGTTCCGTTTCATGTATGTGAGTCGGCTCGCCGACATGATTTAGTCGTGTGCTGTTCGAATTCCCATTCCCCCTTTGGTTATCAGTCAGTAGCTCATGTAGCGTTGAGCCATCTTGTTGTTTGGAAACTTTATAAATAGCCGGACACGACTTGGAGCTCTTTAAATCGTTTATGTCCTTATAGTCGCATAGCTCATTCAATTCAATGTTGTTGTCTCCGCCAGCAGCATTATCTGCATGTCTTTCTGCGCGCCGTCGACCACTGCCATGTGTTGCATTTGCTGTCAGTTGCTCAAATGGCTGCTCATGCTTGTGGCTATTTTTATTCTTCTCGGCAGTTATCATTGGTTCTAACTTATTCGCCAATGTGGCGTCATAACAATTATTATCTTCAATACTACCCGCACCCGCCGGATGCTTATCGTTTATTTTCAATTGACTTAAAGTGATCTCAGCTCTGGATAGTGACGTCAATCCGTTGCCATCGCTTTGGTCGCCACAACCGCCAAACAACATGGGGGTATTCATGAGGAATTCTCTGCTAAATTTCGTTCGGTCCAATTCAAATTTCTTATGGTCAAAATTTTCATTAATATAATTGATGTGTATAGGAGAAGTCTGTAACTGAAGACTAGATCGCCTTAGATCATCTTCGGGAGGTGTATAATATACTGATGCTTTGCTCGCCGAATTCAAAGCCATGACAGCTAATTTGTTTTTTAAACTCTTCATCTTGGCTGCGCTAGGATTGAACTGATCGCCCAGTTGACTCTTGAAATACACTTCAATATCTACAAAGAAGAAGAATTGTATGTGAAGCCCAGAAAGTTATTTAATTTAGTGTTAATTTGGGTAAAAAGAAAAAACTTTACAAGTTCTTTTTTTCGTTATATCTAATGATTGCAAAAACAAGTAAAAACACTAAATTCGGTCGAACCGAATCTATTACACCCTTCACAAATTAAAAATGTTTCAATATCGGACCTGATTTCAATTGATCAGTTTGTATGTGGCAAATTTCGTGAATATATCTTCTCAACTAAAAAGTTTTACATAGATTGTAGAGTAGCATTGGATAATAGCTATGCCAAGTTTTATAAACATATCTCGTCCAAAAAAAAATTTCGATACAAGGACAAGATTGTGATCGTTCAGCTTGTTTGGCAGCTTATGTTATAGTGGTCCGATATTCCGACAAATGAGCAGCTTCTTAGAGAGAAAAGGATGTGTGAAAATTTCAGAACGATATCTGAGAGACTAGTTCGCGTATTTACTTTAGACATACAGACGGACATGGCAAAATCGACTCATCTCGTCACGCTGATCTTTTATGTATACATTTTATGGAGTGTCCGACGTTTTCTTCTAGGTGTTAGAAATTTCGTGGCAAACTGCCATATAAACTGAACGATAAAAATCAGGTGCTGTATGGAAACATTTTATATGTGAAGAGTATTCCAGCATCGGTGCAACCGAAATGCATCATTAGATGATGATTAAAAAAAAATCGACTGAAATCTCTTGTATATTAATGATTAGGTTTAGGTTTTTAACATATTACCTTCCGCTATATCCTCTTCACAACGACCACGACAATTTTCGAAATAAAAACTCGGAAGATTTTCCAATACTTTATTCAGCGACTGTTGTTGATATTTGTAGCCTTCACGCAAGCGCAAAACTTGATGTGCACTAAATTTACGAATTTTGTTACGTTGGAAGACGTAATTTTCGCGCACCCAGTTCAACTGTCCCGTGGAATAATCACGAACCTTTTTCACCTGTGTGTAAGTAATAAAAGGTACATTTATTGTAACAGAATTAAACAGAAATGATGCGCAAATTACCTGATCGTAATATTGATCCTTTAGTGCTGTTAGATGAGTGGAACCCATGTCTCTAAATTCTTTTAAATATTTGGCCTGAGATGTATAACTACTCTGAATCCATTCAACTTGCTGCACACAATTCTCTCGTATACGATGCACCTAAAGCGATTCAAATATTATCGTATAAGAAACATTTTCATAAATTGTTGCAAATTTTTTACTTGTTGTGCATAATTCTCGCGCAGTCGTTCCAATTGCTGACTTTTGTAGCACTCAATGCTATCGAGCATGGCATAAATTTGGCGGGCCCTCGGAGACTGCTTGTTGCGCACACAGCAATAAAATCTATCGAATATACCACATCTGCAATAAATTTGAAAGAAGAAACCAATTAGAAGCCGAAAATGACAATACAATAAATCACAATATAAAGCGTTAAGATTGGTACTTACTTGGAGAAGAGTGCACGAAGCCCTTGTATGATCAGCGTTAGCAAAAGAAAGGCGGTAGCAGCAGCGGTACCCGATAAAAGACTCTCGATTTTAACACGGTAGAAGACAATTGGATCGATGTAAATTCTGTAAGTCACATTAATTAGTAAATAACTTCAAAAATCTTGCAATTTAGTATGATATAAATCACATGTTAACATAATTATTGACACATACCTTTAAATATCGGGTTAAAACTATTGAATTAATGTATATGTATGTACATACATACATAGTGAACAGTTACTATAGTGTTATTATTCTAGATTAGAAAAAAGGTTCAAATATGTTCCTGAAATCATATGAAATAAAGTAGTGTTACGAGTATGCAAGGTTGCGAATTTTTTCATTAAAAAATTTTGGATTAAACATTAAATTTTTATTTTTATATCCCGATGTTTGGGTTCAAAAATTGAAAATCCTAGTATTTGGTTTTAATGAATGTGAAAAAATTTTAATTCTTAAACAAATTCTTTTTTAATACATTTGAATTAATGTTTTTTTAA